AATATGCAAATTTGACATGATATACTTAATACATATAAATAAAAATGTGATCATGAATGTTCCAAACATACAGGAATACTTTCTATTGCATATAATATATCATCATCTAATATTTTATTTAGAAAACAGCTCCCTTATACGAAAGGTGAAACTGGTGACTACAATGTGGATTACAGGATTTAAGACACAGAACTGAATAAATATTTAATCTGCAACAAATTTTAGAGAACAATAAGAAGGATGCAGCAGAAATTCCTCATCTTTCACAGATGTCAGAATAATTAATCAAAGCATGACAGAAAACTAATTAATGCAGCCATGAGAAAACTTAATATACTCAGAAAATCCATACAACTCAACTCTCTTACACTAAATGAAGCAAAAGTTTAGGGTTTAAATCTGAGATAGCTTTTCAGAAACTACAAAATAAAAAAAAAGTACTTAGCAAGAATAATAACTAGCATATCTCACCATACCAGACATTGGACAAAATAATTAGATGTTCAAAGAATAATATCACAGGATATATCTTTAATAAATCTGCACAAATTCCTCCATTTGTAATTGACACTGACAGGCATCCGCAAAGCCAAACCAAGCTTTTTTCAGCAATGGAGTGAGATGTTACAAGATGAACTATTAAATTTTGGTCCTAAATGATATATAAATGTGCATGACTTTAATGCCTGCTAGATATTGTATGAACATGATAAATTTATATAATTGTCATAGCTTATAAATGACACTAAATTTGTCATATTTTATAAATATGACTTAATGGGAAGTTTATTTTCATAAACTTGGTAAGACTGCTAGAGCAAGAAATATTAAAATTTTCATTTTTCATAGCGTAAAACAGTCAAATTTTACTTATTTTTGATTAAAAATTCAATTATTCCCCACAACTGCTCTTGAAATAAAATAAGTATTAACCCTTTCAGAACGGGCATCCCATATACGCATTCCCTAAGAACGTCTCTTACAGCTGGGCATCTCATCCACGCATCGCTAGTGATTGCATTCAGAGGACAGGTGATGCCTATACGCATTTTCAGCTGGAACGTTTTTCTGAAGGCCACTAGATGGCATCCTTTGAAATGAACACAGTTTTAGGTTCCTGACCTTGAGTTTGATATATTCTGCTTGAATTTGGTATTTTACTCATCAGCTCTTGCGAGGGGGTGGGAAGCGTAAACAGAGGTGAGCTATTTAAATCGCTGCGTGCTAATGAAAACATTGGCGCGTCTGATTTATATCCAATTCCTTTTTTTATTCTATTTTTTCCTTTACTATGTACGGTCTTTTAGGGTTAGTATGTGGAGTATTGTTACGTTTGGCATTGCCTTCAGTTATATTTCTGTTTCTTCTCTTTTTATTACGGAAAGCCTCACCTCCAGTCTATTACGGCGGGAAGGCGCTATTTATCAGAGGAAGAATACCCTCGTATAGTCAATGAACCATTTATTAACGCAGATGAGAGTGATGATTCATTTTCTAAAGAGTTAGAAAGTGATACTTCTCCGTACTTCGAGATTTACCACAGTCTTCATTTTAAATTTTGTTACTTCTTACTGTAAATAGTCTTTATTGTGTGGTTTTATTAATTTTAAACTTTATTGATGGATTTTATCAATTAAAACTTTGAAATAATTTGAATGGTGCTTCTGAAAATTATTTTACAAGATAAGCATTTTTTAAGTATATTTTCATGTAAAATAAAGAAAAAAAAAACGTTATTAAGTGCTACTTTTAACATATATAAGAGCTCAAGTAATAATCTAAAATGATACCAAAAATTACGATGCTAGAAGCGAAACTTTTTTTTCTGATTTTTTTTTATAAAATTAGGCTTAGCGATGCAAAACCTCCATCCTGTACAGTGACTGCCTTCGATTCCCTTCCGCCCCGCACAAGCGTCTTAAACAAAGGTGCGCCGTCGCGAAAAGGTTAAGGAATCAATCAGGACAAAATTAAGTATACATCGAGGACAAAACCCCCTAAAATTCAAAAACAGCTGCTAATATCTTTATTTAGCTGGGTTCTGAAATCAACATTTAGTAGCAATACTAGCAGGCTGTGGCTAAAGCAGAATTTCTGAAGGCTAAAGAAGAAGTTCTATGTACACCTAAAAAAATATATATATATATAAAAACATTTCAATATGAATGAAATGAGTTCATTCTTTCTAAGCAACAACCAATTTGTAAATATTTTTTTGTTGCCAAACCAGGAAACGAAAACTTTTGACACTTTAGTTTAATATGTTTATGTACGACATCATGATTTAAATTTAATGTAATATAACAACTCTTTCACAATATCAGTAGAAGAATTAACATGGCAGTTAATTGTCAATTATTCTAATCTGAAGCAAAAAAGTTGCCAAAAGCAGTTGCTTATTTAAAATGCTGACATCAACAAAAAATTTTAGACATTCAATGACGTCGCATACAATCACGTGCTTTCTTCAATGTCAAAATATGATCTTATACAATAATTAAAATATATTCAATGCTTGACAGTGCTATTTTTACTTCATATTTGGTAAAACTTACACAAATTTTTCATTAACAAACTCTGCAATTTGAAAGCAGGCAGTGGCAACACTTTTCAAAATAAAGCAGACTTTTATCTCCAGTATGCAAGACCGTTGCCACTCAGAAAAATAACAGCAAAAATTAGTGCTTTCAGAGTTTTTATTAATATCTCAGCTGAAAAAAGTCGTATGAAGATTAGAATGCTCAAAATGGCTTCCCACAAATTTTTGGAATATGGGGTTACCTCTCTCGTAACTCAACTTCCCCGTCGTTCCGGAGGAGATGATGTCACAAACAAACAGATGTGCACAGATTTTAATGATATAGACTAGCGGGCAAGCCCGCCAGCTGAGCGGGCTGAAGCTCGCTTTTCATTGTTCAATGTTCATGAGTTTCCATGTTCAATTTCGCCGGTATTCGAAAGTTGGACCAAACTACCAGTGTTCAGCGGTTTTACGCGGACTTCCCCCGCTTTATTCACGTATGCATCAAGAAGATACTGCACACACATTACACATGCGTAAAATCATGAAAACACCCATGCACCCAGCCCCCTGGCCGGGATTCGAAAGTTGGAACGAACTACCAGTGTCCAGCGGTTTTGCACGGGCTGCGCCCGCTTTATTAAAGTAGGCATCCAGAATATACTGCATACACAACACACATGCGGAAAATCTTAAAAACACCCATAGAGCCAGCCCGTTGTCCTTTATTTGTAAGTTGGTCCGACTACCAGCGTTCAGTGATTTTACCCAGCTGTGCCCGCTTTATTCGGGTATGCATCCAAAAGATACTGCATACACGTTACAGATGCAGAAAATCATGAAAACATACATGGAGGCAGCCCGTACGCCGGGATTCAAAAGTTGGATCGAACTACCAGTGTTGAGCGGATTTGCGCATGCGTAAACGCATAATGCGTTTATGCATGTGCATATGTGTATACGCATGCACATAATACGTTTATGCATGAGCATATGCATTTGCGCATGCACGTTTAATGTATAATGGATGGTATAAGCTAAGCTAAAATTATGTAATTATCTATTTCAGTTAATGTTGCAGATTGCGTTGTTCCTTAATCTTCGAATTGGATCCGGCTTGTTATTTTTTGCAGACTGTTAGAGCAATTTTATAAAAGTAAGCTTGAACTTTCGATTATGTCAAAAAGAATTTCCGAATCTGGAGCTGCCAAAGGATCTACAAAGCGAAAGCATGTTTCGATGTCCATCAAACAAAAAGTGGAATTGATGAAAAAAATGGATAAAGGAATGAAGAAAGTGACAGAGAGGTGATTTGTTTCTCTAACCATTCCATAATCTGTTTATCAATTTTACACTGCTCTGCGAGAGGGGGGGGATGTCACGGCACGCAATGAACTGGAAGTTTATCTGTCAGCACTATCCTTATCTTCAGGGCAGATGTTTTTATTTTTTTCGGCTTATAATTCCTTACTAAATGTTGTATTTCATCTCGATGTACTCTGATATGATTTAAATCAAATTCCTTGTCATTATAAATATCACAAATACACATCGAATAGTTTTCTGGTTGCAATTTTCTAATTTCGAGTAAGCGTAATGTATGCTTTACGCATGCACGCGTTGAAAGAAATGTTTAATAAAGTAAACAAAAAAGTATTAAGCTTTTTTTTTTGTAAATGTTGATACCCTTTAGATCATAATTGCTCTTTATTTCCTAAATTACGGTTTCATATTTTTAATTTCATAATTTCTGCATGCCATCTTACCAGATTTAAATTGATGATCTATAATCCGGAAAAAACGATAATCCGGAATCGCCGTAGTCCCGACGAATCCGGATTAAAGACTTTTGGCTGTATATATTTCTTTTAATTTGCTTTGGACCAGTATATCGAAATTCTATCGGCGGGCCGTATTGGACCTTCCAGAGGGCCATAGTTTGTCCATCCCTGTGATAGAGTATAGGACACGAGGCAGACCAAACCAACATATTTCTGGCTCTTCGCCGAGACGACGTACTAGCCAGAGGAGGAGACTGTAACCCTATGGCTCAATGAGCTCCACCTAGCAGCCGCCAGAAGAAACAACAGCCAAAAAAGATAATAGCCTTCAGTCAATATGCAGGAGTCATGACCTAAGCATGCTGTTTCCCCGAGATGTTATACTCCAAGATTTACTTTGTAGCTTAAATGTGTAATTATAACACACTTTATTGTAATGTTTTATCTTAATTGTGCTCTTTTAATTAAAACTATTTAAAAAGGTCAAGTGAGTATTTTGTTTATGGTAGTTTTGGTTATAATACAATATTTCCATTTTTAAATGCAAATATGAAAACAATACAGTTTAAATACATTATGTATTAAACTAGTAAAATAAATAATATGTTAAGTATTAAATAAAATTATATATATATATATATATATATATATATATATATATATATATATATATGATCTATAAAAATAAAACATAGAACCTTGGAATGCTTAGAGCTGGCATCAACTACTTCCAAATCATTCTGAAGAACAGAAACTCTTTTAGACAGCTGCACATTCCGGAAATTTAAACATTCAACTTCTTGCTCTAATTTCCTTATTAACTGATCTTTTTTCTTTAAATTCTCCTATAAAAAATATATACATACATAAATATCAAAAGGTACTGGAAAAAGCAATTCTTTTCATTCCATGTAAAAATTAAGTTTTAAATACAAAATACATATATAGCATACTAAATGAAAGTAGTAAATATTAATTAATTCCTAAAAATTAATTCTAGAGTTTGCCTACAGAGTTAGACACATAATTTTTAATACAATTCTTTCATACTTCTAGAGTTTTCTTAAAAATTCATAAAAGTTATAATTTTCACTCCCCGCCCCATGTGAATGTCTCCCATGTATACACATATATTTACTGTGCATTACCACAGTCTAGTATCATGCAAATAGTTTTATACGATGGTGAAAACAACATGAAAAAATATGAAAGGGTACAACTTTGATATACCCCCCAAAAATTACACGCCAAATCTGGCACTCCCTACGGACTTTTTAGGTTTGCTGTTTCTTATTTTGGTGTTGCCAATTTAGGTTTTTTCAGCTTTTAGGTTTTTGCTGTTGCCAAATTTAGTATTTTCTTGTATTTTGTACCATTTTTTGAGTTTTTTTTTTTTTAAAGTTTTATGGCAACAATTTTTGGATTTCATATATGTTTTACCGCCATTTCATTCATTCGCCATTTCTTTGTAAAGTGATCAAGTGGATTTCTGACTTGCTGTATTTTACTGCAAATCTGGTTGTATTTTCCAATTATATTTTTTTCTATTAATTATTTTTAGCTTTTAGCTTTCAATATGCCTACTGTATACAGTGTTGTTGAAAAGTTTCAGGGAATTTTGAGTCGGAAAATTGATAGTTGTGCTTCATTTTCGTCGGGTAGGCCGACAGTTGGAAGGCCAGGTATTGTTAATTGTTTATTTTTGCATCATTTGGCTCAGGATATGCAGATGTTAATTGATTTTTTGATGGAGGTTGGATTGTTGAAGGCTGCAGTGTGTAAGAAATGTGGGTCTGGTATGAAACAGAAGTTGAAGAAGTCGTATTCGGATGGATTTGTGTATGTTTGTCGCAAATGGTAGGTGGTAATCAGTGCAACACTGAAATGTCAATAAGGCATAATTCTTGGTTTTCAAAGTCTAAGCTTAAGTTGTTTGAGGTTTTGTTGATCACGTACGAGATTTTGAGAGGCACTAAGACAGGTAGGATTGCAGAGGAGTATGGTTTCTCTAGTATTACTTTAGCAGATTGGAGGCAATTCATTAACGAGACCATTTTGAATTATATTGAGGAGAATTCTGAGAAGGTAGGTGGTGATGGTGTTGTTGTGGAAATAGATGAGTCAAAGTTTGGCAAAAGGAAGTATAATAGGGGTCATAGTGTAGAACATCAGTGGATTTTTGGTGGTGTTGAAAGGGGATCAGGTAAGGTTTTTTTAGTGCTGTGCATGATAGGTCTCAGGAGACATTGTTGTCGGTAATTAAGGAATGGATTAAGCCAGGTACGTCTGTTTATTCTGATTGTTGGAAAAGTTATGATTGTTTGACGGATGAGGGTTTTGAGCATTTAAAGGTAAATCATTCTTTAACATTTGTAGACCCCAATTTCGGGTCATACAAATACAATTGAAAGAATGTGGAGGCATGTTAAAGCTTCTTTGCTTAAGTACAATCGCAAGGCAGATTATAAATTTTACCTTGTGATGTACATGTTTCGTAAATCATGTTTAGCGGCTAATGTTTATTGTTTCATTAAATTTATTGAAATTGCTGCTGGGGTAAATTGGGAGCAATTCAAAATTTCTGTATAAATAATTCTTTTTACTAGATTGCCGACACGTATTTTCAATTGTATTTGTTAAAATTTTTGTGTAAATTGTATATAATATGTTATTCAGTGTCATTTATTTGTATTTTTGGTTGATCTTTACAATATGGTAACTGGTAGTTTGGTGACATTTTGGAGGCGATAAAGGTTACTACCTGGGACTTTGGTAATAATGTGAGCAGTACTCAGTTCCGATTACGCATTATTTGCGTGAGGGAAATGAGAGATCATGGGATATGTCATGTGATATTAATGGACGAATTACGGTTCTTTAATCGGAAAAGGGGGGAAATCGGGAAAAAATCTGGAAATTTTGTATTTGGCTTTATTCTGTGTTGTGTGAAACAGTGTTGTTAATTTTTGGATCCCATGGCCCTAACTAAAGTGAATTCGAAATGGGTATTTAGGCATTGTGATAAAGAGAAGTTTGCTTTTTATTTAGCAGAGGAAGTAGGAGGAAAATTCGCAGAAAAAATCTTTCAATAATTTTTATTGAATGAATTAGAAAAGTGTTATCCGCCACGTAATCAAGATTCTGAAGAAGATTAGGTAAGTTTATTTTTAATTATTTGAGGATATTATTTTTATGCATTGTTCTAAATGTAAGGTGGAAAGGAATTTGGTATTATTGGGAAAATTGTTATTAGCAATGATTTAGTTTAAAGTAATTAGGATTGTAAGGTAATTTTTATTAATTTAATGTATGTGCTCATTTATATTTTAAGTAGTGTTTTTGAATTTAATTATATTTTAATGAAATGATAGTTATTTTGTGAATTTTATGTTTGTAGGAATTTGGTATACGTTTAAGTTGAAGTAAACGTGCATGGAAATAATTTAAATATTTGATACTAAGTATTTGTAATGCTTGCGGTATGAATTCGTTGGTGACGTGTATAATGTAATAGATGATTTAGAGGTAAAAGTTTTTGGATATTTTATTTATTTTATATGTGGAAATGTTCATATTTGGAAAGGGTAAATACTTTTTCGCGATCAGGTAATTTCATATATGTTCTTTTTACCGGGTTTAAAGATTGAGAAAATTGTCATGTATTTTCGTGAAATTTTTCTAATTTATGAGAAAAAAGCAGTGTACATGGATATAGTGAAGAGTGTGCGCAATGCCATTTTTGTGCAATTCTGGGATTTTTTTTTTAAGTAAAAATAAGTCGGCGTGTACATGGTTTATGTGTATGTGTTATTTTGAAAAACGCGTAAGGAGTATGGTATTGTGCACTTTTTCCCAATTTTGCAGTGAATATTTGTCATGATTAAGCAGTTTTGTTTGATAAAATTTCTAGCATAAGTGTAATTCGGCTAGTAGATTGTTGGAAGAAGTGTTCAGTAGATAAAAGAAAAAAGAAACATGTCTTTACTTCGTGAAGACAAAATGGCGGGCGGGGGGGAAAAAAAAAATAGAGGGTTGCTGTAGGAGAGTTGGTTGCCAAATTTTCGCCAAAAAATCGCCAAGTTACCATAATGTAAGATCAACCATTTATTTTTTTTTTTTTTTTTTTTTTGTTTAATTTTTTTTTATGTATTAATATTTGTATTTAGCGAGAATCCATCTTGGCGAGGAAAAAAAGTCGCCAAATTTCCGATTTGGGGGGGGGTATATCAAAGTAGTTCCTATGAAAGTTAACTAACTACATCAGAACTATTTTAAATCAGTTAAGGAATAAATGAATTTTTATGCACAAAGTTTTAGAAAATTTACTCTTCAAAGTTATATTAGCATAGATTTGAATTCTAAACTCAGTTATTACATGATTTAGTGCATCAAAACAGATAATTGTAATCACAAGAATAACTTCAGAATTTAGTTATTTAGTGAATTGAGACATTCTTCAAAACAATACACTTAATACAGCTCCACATGAAATACAAAAATTAAAGTTCTGGATCAAATAATAAGTTATCTGATACAAAGTACAGCTCATTTTCACCATAACCCATCTATCAAATATACTTTTTGTCCACAACTAAGAAAAAGTGTCTGTGTGTGGGGGGAGGGGGAAACTCCATTCCTCAATAATTAGAAACTGTTAATTGTAAAATGACAATGATCTTCAAGCATCAATAATCGCCAAAGGTTTGTTTATAACAGTATGAATATGACAATTATGACAAAAATTTATTATATGACATACCATATTCTCATTCAATACAACTTTTAACAAAAATAATGCTACAGTCTTCTTTATAGCAAGAATATGCTTGGAAAGTTTCCTTAAAAATTACTGCTTTTATAAATTTAGTATATTACCTGTAGTGCTGATGCAGTGGCTTGTTCATCAGCTATAGCACTTTTTAACACAGATGTCTGAGCTTTTAACTAAAAAATATGCATGCAATGTTTAAAACATATAATTTCTTAGTAGGAAATATTAAATAATAAAAAGCTAAATCAACAATAAAAAAACTGTCAGGGATAGATGAAATATTGTGGTAAATATTTTAATAACTAAGAAAGCATACCTTAGAATATTCTAGTGCAAGTTTCTGATATTTCAACAGTACTTCAGAGCTATCTTCCATTCCTAGTAAACAGGAAATAAGACCATGAAAGAATTATGAAACATAATATATAACTATACTTTTAATGCATATATTACAAATGACACCAGAAAACATATCACTTAATATATGTTTAATGCCCATAAAGTATACATACACACACACAATATAAAAAAAAATTGTAAACAAAAAACCATTTTTTTTGTTCTCTGTTAATTTTTAATACATTTTGTAAATTATTAAATTTTGAGTTTTAATACTGGTAAATAGTTTATATTTTACTTTTGCTTTACTAAGCATTAAATTTATTTCATTTAAATTTTTTTATATATACTTTTATTTCATATGGAAGGAGGATTGCCGCATAGAAGAGGCAATCAGAATTGTTAGATGAATTATTATTATTAAATAATTTAAGATGGTTTATCGGCCTCTTTTGTATGAACAGAAATGCATTGGTTTTCCTGGGAAAAGGGATTAAGTTGAATGTGATCTATCTCCTCTTGAAACATTGAATCAAATTTTAATTATATTCCTCTTTCAATTTTATGTATTTATATATTTCTGTTTTTTGTTTTTTTTTTTTTTTTTTTTTTTTTTTTTTTGGAATTTCTTCTGGTTTAAAAACACTTAGTTAATGGATTTTTTATCTTTTTATTGGAAATTTTGGGATTTTACTAGTTTTAATTATCATTTCTTCCATTATTATCATTTCATTTCTTTGTGGATTTGCTTCTAAATTTCTTACCATTTTGTGTATAATTGATATATATATATTATACATATAAAGAGAGAATAATTTAATATATGTTTAATATTCATAAATTACATACATTTCCTAATTATTTTATAAGTCTGGCATACATAGTTTTCTATAAGGCAATATTATTCTAAAAAGGTTTCCTTAAATGCTTAAATTGACGTTACTGAATTATTAGTTGTTGTTCACATAACAGAAGGATATATATGAATAAAGATTGTGCAATTACTTTCTCAAGATTTACAACAGTATTAAATTAGGGCTGATCTTTAGAATATGGTAACTGCTAGTTTGGCGACATTTTGGAGGCGATAAAGGTTACTACCTGGGACTTTGGTAATAATGTGAGCAGTACTCAGTTCCGATTACGCATTATTTTGTGTGAGGGAAATGAGAGATCATGGGATATGTCATGTGATATTAATGGACGAATTACGGTTCTTTAATCGGAAAAGGGGGGAAATCGGGGAAAAAATCTGGAAATTTTGTATTTGGCTTTATTCTGTGTTGTGTGAAACAGTGTTCGTTAATTTTTGGATCCCATGGCCCTAACTAAAGTGAATTCGAAATGGGTATTTAGTGGGATTGAAAGGGGTAGTAATAAGTGTTTCTTTAAGGTTGTGCGAGATAGAAGTAAAGATGTTTTATTAAGTTAATTATTTTACCTGGTACCTTGGTGTGAACTATAAGTATGATTTTAAAGATCCTGAAACAGAAATAAGAAAAGTTTATCGAACACGTAATCAAGATTGTGAAGAAGAATAGGTAAGTTAGTATTTTTAATTATTTGAGGATATTATTTTTATGCATTGTTTGTTCTAAATGTAAGGTGGAAGTAAAGTAATTTGCGTAAACGTGCATGGAAATAATTTAAATATTTGACACTAAGTATTTGTAACCATTTGTAATGTTTGCGGTATGAATTAGTTAGTGACGTTTGTAATATAATAGATAATGTAGAGGTAAAAGTTTTTGGATATTTTATTTATTTTATACGGGGAAATGTTCATATTTGGAAAGGGTATAAACTTTTTCACGATCAGGTAATTTCATATATGTTCTTTTTACCGGGTTTAAAGATTCAGAAAATTGTCATGTATTTTCGTGAAATTTTTCTAATTTATGAGAAAAAAGCAGTGCACATGGATATAGTGAAGAGTGCGCGCAATGCCATTTTTGTGTAATTCTGGGATTTTTTTTAAGTAAAAGTAAGTCGGCGTGTACATGGTTTATGTGTATGTGTTATTTTGAAAAAAGCGTAAGGAGTATGGTATTGTGCACCTTTTCCCAATTTTGCAGTGAATATTTGTCATGATTAAGCAGTTTTGTTAGATAAAATTTCTAGCATAAGTGTAATTCGGCTAGTAGATTGTTGGAAGAAGTGTTGAGTAGATAAAAAGAAAAGAAACATGTCTTTACTTCATGAAGACAAAATGGCGGCGGGAAAAAAAAATAGAGGGTTGCTGTAGGAGAGTTGGTCGCCAAATTTTCGCCAAAAAAACGCCAAGTTACCATAATGTAAAGATCAACCTAAATTAGTAATTCTTTAAAAATGAGATATTACTACTATAGCTTTATTATAAACATGTTCTTGAACTGAAATTCTGAATCTTCAGTTGTGTGTCTTGAACTGTTTGTTTTCTTGGGCACCTGGACATGGCAATATTCCATGAACTGAAATTTTATTACTGAAAACTTCAGTAATAAAATTATTCACAAAACTCCAATTGAATACTTTTTAATAACTAATATAATCACAATTAATTCAGAAAAAAAGAAACAAAAAGTTATAATTGCATCAAATCAGAAAAAAATACCTAATTTTTCAAATAGTTAGTATCGATAAATTAATAGTATCTGTGGCAGTTTGAAAATTAAATCTGATTATTTTTCATAGCAGACAATAAAAGACATACAGAAGCTTCTTGAGTTTTGCTATAAAGCCCCTATTAAACATATTAATATGAATCTGGAAATTTTCATCATATCTTAACATATGAAAAAACGTAATATGTTTATGATATGATTACAGAAATTGGTTACACCAAATGACATTGTAAAACATATGTATAATATTCGAACAAAACACTTTATACATTGAAATTTATTTATGTTCCTTTCATAAATGTTATAAAATAGTTTAAGTTTCAGTATTGATTTAATTGCATTTTTAACAAAAATAAATATTCATACCTTACAACTTAAATACACTAATCTCATCATTAAAATTTATTAGCTTTCAAAATAAAATAAAATTTAATATTTTAAAATTCCTATTGATAAAATGCACCTTCAATTCAAAAATTCATATATGAATGAAATAGATTATACCATAAATTTGTACAATAATAAGTAACCTATAGAGATATATACACAGATTTTGCTGACTGATTCTTTCAGTTGAGTTTGCACCTTTAAAAAACAATACGATATATTCACTTAATTCATTAAGTGCTCTAGGAAATGTTTTATTAGACACTATGTTTTCAAAAATGGGCATCCAATGTTAAAATCCTGCACACTTTTGAGGACTCTTAACACCTGCCCTTAAAATAAGAAGCAATAGACGAATTTTATATAAAACATTACTTCCTTTTCATGCATGCATCTGTCAAAATGTTAATAACATTGAGAAACAAACAAACAAACAAAAAATATTTTAAAATATCAAATTATCTATCATACAGGAAATACTGCATTTCAAAAAATAATTTTTCAATAAGTTTTTATAAAATTTTCAGTTTCTTTTTTAAGATACATAATCATTATTTTCAAAAATTATATGCGGCACTCAAAATGAAAGGCACCAGCAACTATAAATATTTGCTACATGAAGAACTACTGCTTACTAAAATTAACGAATGTGAAAAGTTGAAAACACTTTCGTATAACCGCCACAATCGCGAATGGGCGTTTTAAACACACTTTTACAGTAAATATACAATCGATAACTTCCGATCATCATATCAGCTACATATTGTTTACTCAAGCTTAATTAGAGTTCGAGAGTTGTTTCGAATCTGACGTTCAGAACTAAACCTTTACGGTTAATCTGACACAAACAAAACACTCAAAAGCAAAACCATCTATAAACAACATGTAGTACCATATTTACATATAAGCAATTCATTCAATTGGCAATAGAATTTGGCAAATATTATCATAACCGTGCACCGGCTGGTCTGCTTGGTAAAATTTTGTTTTCTATATAATATGTTCCCAACAAGAATTTTTGCAATAAATGCTAATTATTTATATCAGCATGGCTTTTACACAGGCACGAATCCCGTTCAAAATTGGGCCTGTACCAATATTTCCGCAGAAAGAATGCAGATCCAGAATATAAGAGTCATACTGTTACATAATAACTTTTAAGCAAAAAACAGTTTAATTTCAGCAAATATCAAACAGCTGGAACCTCTCAAGACACTCTGAAGCCACTTTCGAATGAACATGTTTCTGTGCTTCGAGTAGACAACATTCCGATACTCATCAAAATAGCATGAGCACAAGGAAATTAATTTATTTAAATCAATTTTTGTACATATTAGAACTATCATTTGGGTAGCATATAAGCATTCCATACCGCGCTGCTCGCATAGAGCCTCAATGATCGGTCTTGCTAGACGCTACGGACCTGAAATTAAATGCGTGCCACTCTAATATGTCGTGCTGCCCAAAAGCGATTATTCACACACACACAGATCGTATTTTATTCTTGAGTGTCAAGATTCAGAAACATCTTTTTACTCGACTTCTGATAAGAATCAGGTGGTTTCCAGACAAAAGCCCACTGGACGAAAGCGCACGCGACAAAAGCCCACAAAAAAAAAAAAAAAAAGCCCGCTATGATAATTGCTCACGCGACAAATACCCACAGCAATGAAAGCGCACATTGATGAAAGCCCACACGGATAAAAGCTCACGTTGATAAAAGCCCAAATAGATATAAGCCCACGCCACTGATAAAAGAGCACATAATCAAAAGGGACTTATGCCTTTTTATTACTAAACCGTGTATTTATAATTTTAATTATAATAAATGGAGACCTGAATTTTAATGTCTCAAATATGTCTGTTTGTATATTTTATCACTACTTTATTTTTTTAATTTATTAGGTTGAAAGCAAACTTTCTGATTACGTGATTAGCTGTAACACACACACAGATCATATTTTATTCTCGAGTATCAAGATGTAGAAACATCTTATTATTCGACTTCTGATAAGGATCGGGAGAGAGGAGAACGAGTAGGATGGAAGGGAGTGTGGGAGGCGGAAAAAAGAAAGTGAGGTCCGAACTAGCGGCGGCGAAAGAAAGGGGGGGTGGCAAGTTCAGTGTCGTTATAAGACGTAGCTGCGGGTGATAAACAGCAGAGTCATTTTAGCGTAAATGAGTCGATTAAGGTTGTAATTCTTATCTGAGCAGGATGTCACATGGGTACTGATGTTTTTCTCTGGGATGCGGAGAGTGTCTGAGCGGGCTAAAGGCTATTACTGTGGGTTTGTACTGAATAAAAGAAGTTGTCGCTAATCGTTTAATATACTCTTGAATAAGTTCGATTCGAAGGTCTCTGTGAATATAGATGTTTGGAATATACCAAGGAGCATTGATAATTTCTTGTAGAATTTTATTTTGTAGAATTTGTAATTGTTTAATATTGGTTTTAGCTGCATGTCCCCAGATCGATGCGGCATAAAGGACGGCTGGGCGAAGTATGGAGTGATATAGAATTAATTTTTTTGTAGTAGATAAGTTGCCTTTTCTGCCAAGAAAAGGTCGCATAGTAGCTGCGGTGATTTTAAATTTTTGTACTACTGACCGGAAGTGGGTTCTGAAGGTAAGTTTTTGGTCAAGGCTCACTCCAAGGTATTTGGTTTCATTAATCCAGTCTATTTCACATTCAAATATTTCAGGGGGTGGAGGATAGTATTTCATGTTTCCTTTACGGAAAATTATTGCCTTAGTTTTATCAGTGTTAATCCTCCAAAGGGTGAGCCATTTTCCAGTTTCATGAGATAGTTTTGGAGTTGGTTTCTTGCGGCTATAACTGTGCAGGCTTTAGTAGGTATGGCGGTGTCATCGGCAAAGAGTGAAAGATGAACAGAAGGGTCTTTAGGGATGTCTTGTGTATAAATATTAAAAAGGTACGGCGAAAGTGTCGACCCCTGTGGGACACCAGCATTGATTACTCTGGTGGTAGTGTAAGCAGTACCGATTTTGATTCTGAATGTACAGTCGGTCACAAAAGTATTCGAACACCGGTACCCTATCAGAAAATGACAAGATGGCGTTTTTTTTTTCTCTTTCTCTCTGTGTGTCGTGTTATTCCATCCTAGGTTTTCTTCTCCCCCCCATCTTGGAAAAAACTGGAAAAAATTGGTTACGATCTCTTTTTGAATGGGGAGATGCCATTTTGAGAAAAAGCTGACGACCCTATCTTGGAGAATGAACATGACCGCTCTACACACCCTTTCACTCTCTCTCTCTCTTTGAATTGGGAAGCCATTTTGGGAAAAAGCAGACGACCCTATCTTGGAGAATGGAAATGAACGCCTCTCCCTCTCTCTTTGAAATGGAAAGCCATTTTGGGACCCTCTATTCTTGGGGAGGGAGAAAACTGAAGTCTGCATTTCGCTGTCTCTGAATGCGGAAAGCCCTTTTGGGAAAAGCGGACCCTCTTCTTCTGATCTTGGAGAACTGGAAATGAACGCTCTACACGATCTCTCTTTGAATTCAGAAGGTATTTTGGGACCTTCTAATGTTGGAAAACTGAAATGAACGCTCTACGCATTTTCTCTCTCTCTCTCTCTCTTGACATGAGTAGCCATTTTGGAGGATTCTCCACCACCATCCTAACCTTGGAAAACTGAAATGAACGCTCTACACCTTCTCTCTCTCTCTCTTTCTCTGAAATGGGTAGTCATTTGAAAACTCCCTAACTTTGGAAAAAAACAGAAATGAACGCTCTACACCATCTCTCTTTGAAAATGGGGGGTGTCATTTTGAGACCTCCCTCCCCTAAACTTGAAAAAAAAACTGAAATGAACGCTCTACACTTTCTCTCTTTGGACATGGGTAGCCCTTTGGGGACCCTCTCCTCTTGGTAAAAAAAAAGAACTGAAGTGAAGGCTCTACACAATCTCTCTTGGAATGGGATCCATATTTCGGGAAACGTGGATCACCTCATGCTGGAAAACTGAAGTGAACCACCAAGATTGGACTCTATATAATATTTTTTTTTAATTGACATCATGACCCTCCTCCAATTTGTTATTAAAAAAATGTTTTTTTTTTTGTTTTGGTTTTTATCCCATTTCCGATGTGATTTCAGAAATGCAATTCCATAACAGTTCAATTTCATTCGAGGTTAAATGATCTAAACAGTCTTTGACCCACCCATCCGTATGATTATTTTCTTCTCCTTCCTGTTGCACCAAATTTTGTAAGTCCATATAATCATTCCATACGGGAAGGGCTGGATCCTCACAAGGCTGTCTTGAAACACTTGGAGTCTCTTTGGGATGAGTGGAGGGATCTAGGATGTCTGGACCCGGCTGCGATTCTACCTCCATGATTTCTGGACCCGTTGGAACTTGTTTGGAATTTTTTGGTTCTTTTTTTTTTTTTTTTTTTTTTTTTTTTTTTTTTTTTTTTTTTTTTTTTTTTTTTTTTTTTTTTTTTTTTTTTGGAATTTGTTGTGAACCCGGCTGTGATTCTGCCTCCATGATTTCTGGACCCGTTGGAACTTGTGGACCCGGCTGACATTCTACCTCTACGATGTCGGGACTTTTTGAAGCTTGTGGACCCGTCTGACATTCTACCTCTACGATGTCGGGACAGGTTGGAGGAGAAGAAGAAGAAGAGGATACTGGAAGAGGTTCTGTCTGTGAGGAGTCCGAAAGAGGTTGCCTGTTTGAACAAGTCGGGGAAGAAGAAGAAGCTTCTGGATTCTGAAGCGGATCTTGCACGCCAGGTAGGTTCCGGTAAGTCGACCGTTTTTTAAGAGGTAATTTTTTTTTCTTCCTCCTCATCTTCAATTGTGATGACTTCAATTTCATTCCGTTGCCGGGTCGATTTTGTTTCGGGCCATGACGGTTTGGTCCAGCTCCTCTTATCATCTAAGGAAGGGATGGGTAAAGGTGGCGGAGGGTTTTTCTTCTTCTTTTTCTTGAAACATCATCGGCGATTGGAAAGAAATCTCCTCTTTCAATTGTTTCCAAAGCGAGTACGAGCACCGATCGACGAGAAAGAGACTCTTCTGGGTTGTGACGATGAGATATTGCGTTTTCGGGGGAACGACATAGTTTTGAAAAGGTCTTAGAATATATTTCTTATATTTCATCCTGTCGCTGACTTTAAAACTTCTTTCCTTCAGATTGGGGGACGATGATTCGTAATAGGCGAGAGGAGCGGCTGTGGTTTGAACAATATGAACTTCGTCCTCAGCCGTCGTTCTCACTCCAAACGTAAAATATCGTTTCGTGAGAAAAATATTCTTCCACCGAAAACTCGTGCGCGGATCCGTATATCGCCGGTCTGTTTGAATGGGCCGTCTCAAAGCTCGATCCATCCGATTCCAAGAGAAGGGAGATTCCTCTTTCGTTTGTTGCGATTCGAATAAATTTCTGTATATATTCTGAACGAGCAGGTTGGAGGATTCGACATCTTGGTTGAAAGAAACGATCGCTTGATGAGGTGGTAAATGCGGAATAAATGTCGCACAATGACACGCCAAAAAAATTTTCAAGTTGGAGATTTGCTTTAGCGTCTTCAAATCCTCCCCGTTCGAAATCCGTTGAGTTGGAAAAACGTCTAATAGCGACATGGCTCCCAATGGAAAAGAAATGATCTCGCCCAGTACTCTCGCCTTTTTATATATATAGACACACACAGACACACATAGAGGCTCTATGACGTCCGTTTTATTTGTTTTTTTTTGTTTCTCTCTCTCTTCTTTCCAAGAAATCTTATCTCCATGACCTCTTTTTCTTTTCTTAAAAAGATGAATGTGTGTGGGAATGAGGAAGTGAAAGTAATAATTTAATAAACAAAAAATTATCCAACCATGACCTTCTTTTTTTTTTCAAAGTCACCCTTTCCAATCCAAGGACGTCCAGAGATAGAGGAAGCAGGGAGAGAGGAGGAGGAGGGAAGGGAAGGTCACACTCTCTTTCTCTCTATAAATAAAAGGGGAGAGCCCCAAAGTCGTATTTTTGTCCAAGTGGATCATGAGGAGGCATCCCCAGCTCACTACGTGTATTCCTTTCAAATATAAATATGTTGATCTTTCCTTTTA